AAGCAGCTCCTCTAGCAGCGGCTCACAATATTAAAATTATTTTGACCTAGTCCTAAAATGTCGGCTGGGAAACGGTCCCTTTGTTAGCGAGGATGAGGTGGTCTCTCCCGTCCCCTCTTTGCCTGGAAAAGCATCGTCACTTTTCATAACAAGTTGTTGTTGTTCTTGTTGTGTGCCTTCAAGTCCTGCCATTGCTTTCTGATTTACGACAACCCTAAGATAAACCCTAAGACAGGGTTTTCTTGGCTGGATTTGTTCCAAAGAGCTCCACCATTCCTTTCCTCTGAGGATGGCTTGCCAAAAGTCGCCCAGGATGTTACCGTAGCTGAGCGAGGATTCGAACCCTGGTCTTTGGAGTCATCGTCATCCAATGCCCAAACCACTATGCCATGCTGGCTCCCATGGGAGAGAAGACATTTAAAGACCAGGAAAAATTAATCTGGGTTGCAAAATCAGCCGTAATCCACCCCAGATGCCCAATTTGTTGGGGCGGCGCCTAGTTCATCATGGGGACCCCAGTGAAAAACAGCTCTAATAAATGTCTGCTAACTACGCCTTTGCTTTTAGGGACTTTATCACACGGGGGAAATCCTGTACAGAAACGGGTTTAAATTGGGAAAAAACCCTACAAAAGTGAGTAGATTTTCACACGACGTCAGTGTCAAAGTGCACTTAACCCGAACAGAAAGTAGTCAAAAGCTATTTCCTTTTTACTTTCGGAAAATCCCCAAAGTGAAAAGAAGCGGCTTTTGACTTTTTTCCGTTCGGGTTAAGCACACTTTAACATCGACGTGTGTGAAAATCTACCCACTTTTGCGGGTTTCCCCCACCTTTTAAATCCTGTTTCTGTTTCTGTGATAAGGTCCAAGGTTTGGTGGCCATGTTTCACTGCTTTGGCAATTCCGTTTTTCATTCCAACAGATCCTTGAGCCTGGAAACGGAGTGGACCAAGTGGTCTGGGATCGTCGTGGGAGGAGATCCGGGAACTCACCTCCGCCACCCGGATCCATTTCTCCAGGAGCCGAGCCCGTTGGGCGGCCCTCAGTCCGGTGTCCCACAGGCAGGAGAAGACTACCGCTTTGGCCACCAGGTTGAACTGGGCCACCGTGGCCCGGACAGTGGGGCAGGCCCCCTCGTGGCCCTTCTTGTCCCGCTGAGACCACAAGGAGCCCAGGCACTCATGGGGGACGAGGCGCAGGAAGAGATCCTGGGGGGGGGAAAGAGGAGACCCAAATAAGCATTGGTGAACTGGACTTCAGTGTCTGCGCTACGGTGCATTAGCCGCAGATTCCCACGGACAGTTAAAGGCACAGGAGGGTTGGGGAAGAGGAACTCTCTCCGGGGAAGTCCCACCCCCGGGAATCCCATCCCTGGAAGTCCCATTCCCCAGAAGCCCCCTCCCAGCA